ATATATTACATGTATACCCTGCCGGTGCACGTACACACGTACGTATGTATATATATATATATATATACCTGTATAATAAATAATACGCATGGTAAGCAATAATCAACTTGAAAACCTTTCTCATTTTGCTTAAATTTTTTAGTCAGCCCACGCGAGTAAAAGTAAAGCATGTTGTCCGAAATTCAATTCATTTTGATTATAAATATCAATCGTCGTGTTAGTAGCGCTGAATAATTGATCGTATACACACGTAGCGAGGGTAAAGTTCCAATTCAGACCGCACTCTAATTCAAGGCATCGTAAAAAAAAGTACACAGCTACACTATCAGCTCGTGTTTACAGATACGTACACTTGAACGCGTACATTACACCGAGCTAAAATAAGAACATTACAGCCTCGGGGGAGTGGAGAAAGAAACACGCCAGCGAATACAAAAAAGTTAAGCTCGCCCAGAGGTGGAGAGTAAGAGGGAAAGTCTTTATTTTTCCTCCTCTTACATTTGCATCGGAAACAACGGGGCAACCGCGATGTACCCAACGCCGGTTAATCACATTGCCCGACATTGTCTCAGCGTTAAAAGCTATGGGTGTGCAACGGCAACCACAACAACAAAAGCGACGTGCAGTAGTTAACAGCGGTAAGTCTCAAGTTGGCGGGTGGGCGGGGGAGTAAGTATAGGGAGGGATGGATAAAAGACGAAAGCCCTTTAGTGGTGCACACACGTTGTCTCTAGGCTGCACCGTAAGCAGAGAGAGAGAGAGAGCTCCCAATGCAATAAAACCCCGGTACAGCCAAGTGCCAGCGAATTACGTTCAATTAAGCTCCCTCCGGTAAAGACTCGATTCCAGAGATAGAGCCGACGCTCCCGTTGCTCAGAAGGGAGCCGGCGGGTATGCGGCATAGAACTACTACACGGAAAACATCAGCCAGCAGAATAAGAGAGAGAGAGACCCAGCGTTTCTGTCGCTAGAGCTCACACTCCGCGGGAGGAAGTTTTCGGGCGAGGGGAGCGACCGTGTATAATATATAGTTCTCCTCCTCTTTGAACCGTGTACCCATGCATGTGGGTGGTTCGGTCAGTCAGTCAGTACCTATACTCCACCTAACTATAATATAATACGTATGTACCCACCTGTATACAGTGTATACGTTATATGATAAATATTGTACGTATGTGTATACGTACACAACATGTAAAGCTCAACCAAGTGCAGATGATGAGGGGTCGAAGGAGGGAAAAGGGTGTACTATATAATATATAGGCTGTACTGTACGTACACGTACGTGCCGCTCTCTTCCGATGCTGCCCCCGCGACGTGCTGATGGGCTCTGATTGGCCGGAAATTCAAAGTGACGTCACGCCAGCAGGCGGCAGTAAGTGTACGCGGGTGTACAATATACGTGCATGGATAAATATACCTTTTGAGATACGAAAATCGCGTTATATCTATATAAATACGTATAAATATACGTACCGGCAAGTTTTATGGTGACAGTAAAATTTTACATTTCCCTCGAGCTGTTACATCCCTCGAAAATTAGATTTTGAACACGTCGCATCGATTAAGTATACTTAGGTATACGGTAATATCCGTGAATATCATTTGTAACACTGTCGAGATTGTATAGTACGTGGTTTTCTAAAGTCGCGTACCTACGAGGGACTTTTGCAGTTAAAGTACCTATACATAAGCGACATAAGCATCCGAACGTGAGTAATACAATTGCGCGTATAAGCTCAGAGTAGCTCGCGTACACGAGCGTAATAATATACGGACATACAACAGGCAATGACTATCGAATTATATACCTAAATACCGTAGAGTCCGAAAATCACTACATTACTATACGTTCACCCGTTACTTGGTATATTTCCCACGCACGTGTATGACAGAAAATTGTATTTTCGGACAACGATCGCCCGCAGGGGATAAACCCACACGCGTGCCCACGAGGAAATATTATATACTATATGTTTAAACGCGGGAATCCGGCGAAATTAGTAATTGACATATTTTCAACACCGATTCCCCCGTCAGCTTTCCTTCCAGTGCGGGCATCCTCTCCTCCTCATATTTTCCGAGCGCAATAACTCTATCAAAATAAATCACGGCCCGCATGCACGCGGCCGTTAGACGTGACGTCTGAAAATAGACCTTTGCCAGTCAAGAGCGAGAGAGAACGGTACTTTTGGCCACGCGAGGAAAGAAATATTTGTTTTCTTCTTCTTTTTTTTAATTCATGCCTCTTTAAGTACATTTAAATAATTATTCTGGTACATATTCGCACCGAGAGGGGAAATTAGATGGCAACGAGTCTGTTGCGAAGAGAAATCAAAACGTCTCTCGTGTATATAAGGTATGCGCATTATACTATGATGTGTGTTTGTATACCTACTACGCGACTACTACTTTCTCATGTCCGCGTATATATAAATCAAACGCGCGGGAGGATGTAGAGCGATGACAGGAGTAGGAGTAAATACATTGTAGCAGTGGCGTCTACAACCAGCAATGCGTGTTTAGTGGAAAAAAGCGACTAGAGCAAGCAAAATGGTACCCTATTCTAAAAAGGGACCAAGTAGTAGATGTTGGAGGTAGAGTCATCAAGAAGATGTAATCAAGTGTTACAACATTGTGCAAACGAGCACTATAATTTCTAATTAATCAGAAAAATGAGAGAGAGAAAAAAGAAATATTGAAGGAAGATGGGAGGGAAGAGCTGTTTCTAAGAGCTACCCGAACGTGATAGCCTGCGCGGTGACCTCTTCGTTATTATCAATGCGCGTCTTGCACTCGGTAACTCCTCCTCCTCCGCCACCACCGTTACTCTTGGCAACTACTGCTGCGTCTTGTATATTACTCCCTTCCTTCGTACCGTGAGATAATCATCTTTGGGAAAATGATACTTTTCATTTTATTACGGGATGTGAAACTTTTTTTTAAATTCAATTAAAAAAAAAAAAATAATAATAATAATAATAATAACAATAAACAACTCTGTTCAAGAAGCGTTTGTTGGAATGTTTTCTTTTGGTAAAAAAAGATGTTCAGAAAAGTACACACCCGAGAGCCGAGCGAAGATAAACTTTGCGCTTCGAATCCATTCGACCAGACAGCCTTTTTTTCCGAGCTTTCGTTTCATATCCTCCACGAATCGTTATGAGCTTTGAGAGGAAGTTAAATTCAAAGCTGGTGCGTCAAGGCGTGTAGGTATACATACGAGGGGGAGGAAAAATATAGAGGCAAGGCTGTTGCTCGATTTCAAACAATGGGAATCAAGACAGCAGCGAAATTTACATTGCCGATTTGAATCGTGTGCGTGAGCCGGGGGCCGCCTTGCGACTGTTGATGTGCTTTCTAGCGCAAAGCTCGCCAAACTTTGCGGCAAACTAGTTTTATTCGAGCTTCTCTTCGTCTAGATCGGACATAAAAATTCCTCTACCGAAAAACTTGGGACACAACAATTGAATTAATAAGGTTTCGTGGGTAGAATAGAGTGTATTAAAAATTTTTTTACATTGTGTTTTACAAAAATAATCCATCCCATACAAGTAGGGGTTTTAATTTCAAAAAAAAAAAACGTGATCCATCCATACGTTCGATTTTGATTTACACTCCGATAGAATATTCAATGCGAGCTTGTTCTTTCAAATTTTTTACCATTCTAGTATTTTCTTTAGTTTAAAATTCGAAAAAAATTACCATACGTTTGCTTAACATGCTTCCCTTGCTTTGGTACTGCCTACAATCAGAATACTAATTGAATTGCACCAAGGCCAACTTGAAAAACGATTCATCATTGTGAATCGATTTTATTTCATTATCGCACTGTAACTGGGCTTTGTACAAAAATTTTTTTTAGGCACAAAGAAGATTAATGATTTACATATGCAGGGATGGAAAAAAAAACTAATCCCCGTAACTTTATTTTTCTCAAAAGAAATACGATATGGATTGGAGGGTTCGTGGTGGATTGAAAGGATAATTGTAAGTTTATTTGATCATGATTCGTGAGCTTACATCCAAAGTAGAGCGTACAAATATTTATTTTCAGACGTCAGCGTGAATTTTAGTCGATCGATACTCACGCGTATTTTAGGAGAGGGTACATATGGGGAAGAAGATAAGGGGCTTCAGACTTCGATTGGGAAAGCCAAAGTACTGAAAAACTGGAAATAAATCCTTTACAACAAAAAAAAAGTCTTTTTTTACCTTACTCTGCTATTCTATGGAGAAAAATGAGTTAACGACATCGAATCACACAATAATAATTAGTGTTTCTGAGTCATAAAAAAGACAATGTAATCACAACCGATTTTTTTCTTTTATAATACTTATTAATTTTCCTACGTGTTTTAATAGGCACATTGGCTTTAACTATTTTCACGATGTTATAATTTTTTTGTGCAGAGATCACAGACTCTATCTTTTTTTATGATGTCAGTTGCTACAGCAATTTAGTTGCTGTAACTTATGGTGATAAACTTTAGAATTAAAAGCTTGAACTGTTACTTTCAATGTTTGACTGGACGTTGGTAGTCTAATGAATACGTAAAATGACGAGTTACGTGTGTAAAATATTAAACAATTTTCGATCGATTGTATGACGTGAGCACTGATGACACTTATTTAATTCCATTCGAAACTTTATTTTTTTACCCTACAAGAGATACAGATAATAAATACAAAAATTTATATTAATTTTTCAATCAAATAATATACTTACATGAATTACAATTAAAATACAAGTTGTACATGAATACCATTAAAAAAAAAATATATATATATACAATACAAAACAAAAAAAAATCTATTTATATAGAAGAAGTTTTACGCCAATATAAAATAGTCAAATAGAACTCCAACACGAGATCATCGTTTTAGTGAAAGAAACCAAGGAAAATTTTCAATTAATCATCTTTATAGCAACAAGTTTCACAGCTGATGAGTTTTTAGATTTTTAGCCTAATAGTAGATAAAAAGCTAAGTGGTAGTTATCGTGACTTACGTATCTAGCATGCAGATGTCATAATATTATTAAATGTAATAAAAAATTTTTTTAGAAAGTACACATTGAAATTTATCATCGTGTTTGGATAAATTTTGTTGTTAAAACGAAGAATGATAAATAACTGAAAAATATTGAATCGATTTTACTTTTGATGCATAACTTACTTTATGGTTCTTACTTTACTAAGAGTAAGTAATTTTAAAACTGTTTTACAAAATCTCTGATAAAAAAAATATTGTTAAATACTATGTGCAACAGATTTGTACTTTAGAAATTGAATAAATTGATCCTTGCTCTTTAAAAAACTTTATTCATAAAAAAACATGTAGCTTTACGTTAATAATCAAAAACAACAGTCTCGTTTACTTAATAAGTAAGGTTAATTAAGTAGGATGATTGCTCATAACATTAATATATATTTGGAGCACGAATTAATGGTCAAATCAACGTACAATACAACATCACCAACAGGCGGTCTAAAAATATATTATTCGAGCATATACTTATTGATGCCAAATCATACTTCGATCAGCTAGCAATTTGCAGAGACGGTAAAAAAACCAAAGTTAGATAAGGGCTGAACATTAAAAAAAAAAGTCTCTTGAAATTGAGCACAAAAAGTTACAATGTTGTCTGTTGTTGAAACCAACGTTGGACTGAATCATTAGGCGAATACGGCCCAGCAGCAGAGCTGAACAATGGGTCGGGCGGCAAGCTTGCCGAGAGTAAAATTACACACTAACATTACGAGGAGTTACTTATGTATGTGTACACTGCAAGACAGCACAGAATCTGCTTATATCGAATATGTACTTATGTATGAACCTAGGCATGTTGGTGCTTGTGACGTGTAACACGCGCATATACAGTGCACACACATGTCGACTGCAGGGGTTAATGAAATTCACGCCGGACATGCAAAGAGAATAGAATTGCCAGGTGCATGTGAGTATACATAGTATATTATTATATACGCATACACATATTGTACAAGCTTTTGGAGTTGTTGGCTATGGGCAAAGCTTCGTATAAGTACACACGAATATAAACTCACTTACACGTAAAACAAGTGTTTCAAAGTTCGCGCCCGCGCGCGCGCGCTGCCTGGGGTTTTGCGTCTAACCTAAACGTAAAGCTCGCAAGGCCCATTCTCGATAAATTTTTTTTTTTGTTACTATTTATCTATTTCCTTTGGCAAATTATTTACCTGCTCCAAAAGATCGAAGCTGCAAGTAATTGTAATCCCGTTGGAATTTCGCGAGCGGAAACGAAAAAACAAGAGCTAAACACGCGACGGGGATGATAGTCGCGAGAGATAAATTACGAGCTTACACGATTATTATGTAGGCAAGCTTGAGGCAAGCTTCGACCTTGTGCTTGTGCCTCAAGGACGCCGTGATTAAACTTTTTATCTTCTCATACAGGCGTAACATGCCAATGTATATCCGGCGTGTCCATCTTGTCTGTATTCACGATGTACAGAAAAGCTCGGTCGCAAGCTCAAGAACGGAGAGACCAAGTGCAACATACATGTGTGTATAGGTGACGTGCAATATTTCGCCTCGTAGGTATACATATATATATACCGATGTTGCTCCTTCCTCTCTGCGGCTCTTATGAGCACGCCCCTCTCGGCCCTCAGCACATGCCAAGAGCTAGGCCTCTAGACTCTGGAGAGAAGGAGAGAAGGAGAGATGAGACAGGGCGCAGCAGCTCTCTCTTTCCGGCCGTCCAAATTGCGCGGCGCATCCGAACGAACTCGCTGATCGATTTTCTTCCCACTAGCGCTGCTGGATGCTGTGCTCCGCTCCTGCGTCTCTCGTTCTCTCTCCCCCCCCCCCGGCCAATGCTTGTGTACAACCTCATACCAATGCCGTTACTACTACACAACAGTGCGTATGAAAAGGAGTTCGTGCTTGTAATGCATACGTAACAAGGGGGCATTTAAAAGTGTAAGGGTACACAGAGAGCACATATAGGAGAGACATGTATACAAAGAAGAACAAAACTCCAAAACTCTCGCGCTACACAGCAGACGGGAGAATCAATGAGGCTCTCTCTCGCGCTTGTACACACACATGCGTGTGACCCTCTCCCCTCTCGCACGGGTATCTCTTTTTTTTTATATTTATCTCTGCCTGGCGCTCTTTTTCTTTCATTCGTTCCTCTCTCTCTCTATTCTCGGACTTTGGAGTGCGTCTTGGATTATTTGCACACAGCAAGCACATAAGAAGTGCGTTCGAAATGGCGACAAGACGACGACGACGACGACGACAAAGAAGTATGTATGATATGGATGTGTGTATATCTGTTTGTAGGTACATCGTCGTCTTCTCCCGAAGAGTATTCCTTAGGCGTGCAAGGCACGTTAACTTTGGAGCCGTCGGCGTCGCGTGCTTGAATACAGATAAGCGCAAGTACACGGTAGGGAGAAAGCACACGAGCGGAGGAGCGTCAATACAGTACTCATTAGGTAGAGTTATTAAACCCGTGAAATTTTCACGAAATACTAGACCTATAAGTGAAGAGAAAAGAGACATGAAGAAACATTAAAACAAGATACGTCTGTGTACCCCTCCTCATGCATGTACATGCTCAGTGCGAATAACGAAAGAATAATATGTAGAAGAAAATGAAAGAAGCGGCCTAGCGTTTAGACACACATGCCCAGATTGCCCACACATGCATGCACATAAACGTTGAGAGACGCCGGAGATAAAGAAAAGGCTATGTATATGTATGTATTTTTAGAAGCTATAGCGTGTTAGCGGCGAGCACATGTGCTACTGTACGGTATGCAATCAGGACTCTTGTATGCTATTGTGTTACACAATTACTAATGTTAATGTTTTTTATCGTGTGAAAAAAAAAAAAAAAAAAAAAGCAGAAGATAATAAATTGTAATGATGCACGACTTACAGGATAGTACATTCCTTGAGGAGGAAGAAAAAACGCTCCAGAGCCCCACAGTTTGAGGCCGTTCTGCTCCACCGTTACGAAAAGAAGAATTTATCAATCCCCAAGGTATACACTCTCTCTCACTCTGTGTTGGTTGGTGCTGGTATATACTGGGTGCTCCTGTTACTGCTACTTATACTGTAAATACACTCTTGGCCGCCTCCTCCCTTCTCGGTTCCCTTTCTTTTATTCACTCTCTGGTAGAGCAGGAGTTGTTGTTCCTCTGGTTGTTCCTTTTCGTTGGCTTATTTTTTATTATTCATCAATGCTATTGTTGTCTTGGGCAAGTCATATACAGGCACCCGCACCGAGCTGACGACACAAAAACGAGCCCGGGATTTTATTACTTGCAATGACGCTTCGCGCCCGACCGAATATCACTTGCACGTTCGTTCTACGTTCAATGCACGTCCTCTGGTTTCACTCGCTACGTCGCTAATTTTTAGCAATCCTTACTTCGAGGCCTCTCGGGGAGTACTGGCAGCGTGAACGTGGAAACACGCGCGCGCGCGCTATACACAATAAGTAAATTTTTTTTTTCGGCGGGGAGCTGCCGCTCTTGCTGCTACCTACTGTACCGCAGCTATATTACCGATGTATGTACGTGTGTGTACCTACACACCTTAAACCTCATCGACGAGATTTAAAATATGAATAACATGACTCTATATTTACACCAAGTACCTACTTAGGTACACGGTAGATAACAGGGAGCAGCTCTATCCAGCAGAGCGCAAGATGAAAGAAACGTGTATACCTATGTGTGAGTTGTGAGTATACTTAATGCACGACGCACGACCGAGCCCTTGTCTTCTTCTCTCTCAGATGATGATGAGATTAAAGTATATACTTTTATGCACTTACAGATACTTGTACACACCAACAGCAACTACGTACTTATGTCTCTTTCTTTTTTCTCTCGCGGTGCAGTCTCGGAGCAAAAGGTATTCGCGCACTGCACTCTACTGTACTTATCCTTACTTGCAGCTTGCCATTGCAGCGCGATTGAACGATGATGGAACAGAAGGGGGAGAGGAGAGAGAACAAACAAACGCACACACAATCGCTATATAGAGCTATATATTACAACAATAACCTCATACATATATACACACACTTGGTGTGCACTGTGCAAGAGCAGCTATCTCTCGCTCTCTTTCTGTTAGATGGCTGCGGATGCGGAAGGAATATACACCTATTCCACTTTCGAAGCGCGCGCGAACACAAAAGCATGTATATAGGTATATGACGTGCGAATGCAAACGAAGCAGCAGCAGCCACACTTTGCGTGCCTCTTGTTGCGACTGACGACTGTGTGACAACAGAGCTCGGCTCGGATAAGTAGATAGGTACCTATTCTATTCTGCTCCGATGTTAATATAACACGCCGAACGCCGTCTTCTTCGCCGATCGAGCGACTTCGCTTACCTATACTAGCTTTTTTTGCCGACATCAGCGCGCCCTCGCGGATTGTCATGAACTTATCATACAAACTCCACTTGGTTCGCGTATGCGCAATCGCGCATTCGTGGATTCGTGTGCACCCGTCCCGTCACTCGTGTGCCCGTGTCTCTCTCTGAGCTGTCCGGTTGCTCCCCTTTTTTTCTTTCGGATAAAATAATAATAATTATATAAGGATACTAAATATTATAATATATAGTTATGTGTACTTGGGTGAATGTCTAGTAGATACGTACACCTATGCAGCAGATATTAAGTCTCGAGACGCTGATTTTATGGCTCTCTTGATTTGGTATGAATACAAGTATACTTTTACACACATATGCCTATACCTACTAGTGTACAGGTTTAATTTTTTTATCTTGCAACGCATTACTAAGTAGCTGCAGAGCGCGGGTTTGCGATTCGGCAGTTCAAGTCTCTTTCCTTCCATTTCCTCTCTTGGGTCGCTCTCTCTCTCTCTCTCTCTCTCTCCTCCTACCTCTTATAATATACATGCCTTCCCGGAACTGGACAAACTAGTACTATAGAGAGTAGAGTGTGTTTTCTAGTCTCATATGTATATATACATATATAAGTAATTATTTTATTTTCAGTTCTCCACCCAACTCTCACCTCGCGACAATACCTATCTCTCAGACGCGTCGCTCCAGTTTTTCTGTGCCTTTGAGAGTTTAGCTTATCGCATTGGTTTTGCACTCCACATACCTGCCTCTATACTTATAAAATACAATGATGCACTCTTTATCTTACCCATGTTTATTTACACGTTCATCCCTTGCGTCGACTACATATAAGTATATTTATTGTATACATCACCTTCCTTGACAGGAGCGTTATTGATTTTTGATTTAAAGCTATTTCAAGCTCAAACTACGATTATTCTATAATGTGGCTTACAACCATACATGCTTTTACAGTTTATTCGTTGTTTTCAATTTTCAAGTACATCCGCGTTACGTGCAACATTTCAAATAGATAATTGTGAGTTTAAAAATTTTCTCGCATGAATACATAAACCACGTACTTATATGCTTATCGCATCGATTAGTATTCCGAGTATTTCGGAACGTGGAAAAATCACTTAGTCGCTCTCGCGTGCGAGGGAATGTCACGCCGACGACGATTGAAAATCCAAACAGGAATCAATTATTCAGAGCCCAGACTGCAGATATATTGAACGGGAAGCTCTTCAAAAGAGGAGGCGCCGTCCGATGGTCTGTTGCAAAATTATAAGCTTAATTAATCCTGCCCATCTCAAGAGTATAAAATTATGTAATTTGCATAAACGTGCAACTCAAGATGATCACGGAAAACCCGAAATACTCATTTCATGTGTATTTTAAGTATAAAATTGTTGTACCTGAAAATGTCCAAACAACGAATAAGTACGAATTAACAAAGTCCATTGACATAGTTTGCATGCGATCATGAGAGCCAAACGTTGTGTCGCGCAAACATAATGGTACTTATGCGTGTACATTACTGCACGTGAGAGAAAGAGTAACGTTCAAGGAAATGTATGTATGTATGCAAGAAAGACCGGTAGTATAGGTATATACACGCACATTACCAATAAATAATTTATGGACGCGAGTCCGGAAAGTCGCTGAAGAAAATACATTATGGGAAAAAGTTCCAGTCGCGCGGGGTCCGAGGCGCGAAGTGGAAAGTCCGCGGACGAGCGCCAACTTCTGTTCCAACTTTGCGAACAATCGTTTGTAAGGGGAGATCGGAGGGTGGAGGCAGGGGTGAGATGAGCGACAGAGAGATTGAGTTACTAATATTCATAGCTCCTCTATTTATCATTATCTGATCTCCTTTTGTGTGGTATTAAATATCTTTTTTTGCACTTTTGGCAGGGCAAATCATGATATTATGATCATGTACCATCATAAGGCACAGATGATGGATTATAGATTAAAGGAGAAAATACTGAATTTTTCTAATCAGTGTAATCACGAAAAGCACCGAGACTTAACGAAAAAATACCAAACCAATCAGCCGCCGTCCTTGTCATGTTACGAAATGATGGTTGACACGCACGCGCGACGTTACTATTCTGTATTCTGTGTTTAACCTATATACATTAGCCATTCATGCTTAATACAAATAGATACATACAATTACACCAGCTACAAACTCTTTTTTTTTAAACGTTCCCAGACAAATGCAAATACATTCACCTGTATGCATCATAAATATGAATCTCGTGTATTTCAATGGCTTGTAACTGATTGAAAGTCCTACTAACCAATACTCATTGTTCGAAATCTTTGTTACTTCAAGATTCAGGAACTGCAATTTAAAACCAACACATGTAACAACACATTACGTACTATTCAATTATGATCGCAAATAAGTGCACAAAGTTGTCTTGACACGTTGACACTGCGTTTGAAAATGTGAATCACCGCGCACTGCGCAGAACGCACAAAACGCGACGCCGCGACGGTTAAATATTTCAACAGATTTTCGTTTCACCTACTAGCGGAGAAATTCGAAATTAACGTACGAATGTAAAATTTTCGCGCGACACAATTCTGTCAAAGTAAAATCACATTTGTTACTCGACACTGCAAAACCATTTATGCAAATGCATATTAGGTACCGGAGCACCTAATACACAACGTACACATTAATTAGGCCACGAGAAAGACCATCGACGCCCTCGACAGTCGAACCGCCGAACCAGGCCGGTTAGAGATTACGGAGGGAAAAATCTAACAGATAAGAATTTGCGGGAAACGACATCGTTTTTGTAACAAACAAGCGTGAACTATCGCGTATCGCAAAATTATAGCGTCAAGGGTGCCAATAGTGTTCAACAATACCCAAATCCTCCGGTTGATCGACTCCCACTCACGGTTGAGCTCGTTCCTCAGATGAAACACTCGCAACTGCTCGACGAGTTGATTAGACATCTAAACACCTCCCCGGTGATAGATTAGTCCTGGTGGGTGGCACTCGCGACACGACGTAAAATTAATTATTCGAATAAGTACTCACAAGTCGTTTTCGTGACGCACCCCCGCACTGTGCGACTCTCAACTTGATTATGTATGTACTGTGCGTGCATGCATACGTGGTCGATAAGAACATTTTTAAAAATCTCTCCTCTGTTATCACTTAACGGATCTGGTGTTCCACGGCTCAATTTGAACGTCTCGATTTTTTTAGATTTCCCGCTTTCGAGGCCAATCGTTCAAATTATTACTGAAATAATATACATGGTTTCTTTCGTTCGAAATTAAAGCTCAAAATTTCCTGTAATTTCAAATTATTGAAAAAAAAAAAAAAAAAAAAAGCATGATTAATTTGTACTGATTGCATTGCAAAACAGGATTGTAGGGAGCGTAGAATTGAAAATTTTTCTCGTCAAGTGATACCAACGTGTCGCGCGTGCCATAAACATTAAATTAGAAAGGAGCCTCGTATCAAAACCGGTTGCAGTATAGGCGATGTTATGGTAAACCAGGAAGAAATACCGATCTTATCCAGGTGCTGAACTTTTTAAATCGTGCGAAATCATATAGTTCAAAGCATCCGTGAATCAATTTAATTTTTACTATAGGGGATACAAAAATAATTTTTTTGTTTAATATATACATTTGTCAACAACTTCATTTATTGCAAAATGCGTACATCTATATTTTACTTGTAATTTAACAACGAGTATTTTAAACATTGCCGATTTAATGAATTGAATGAACGATTTTTTATACTAATTCGTACATATTATTTAAAATGATGAAATTTTGAGTTAATAAATCGAAACATTTTTTTTTAATGGTTACTACATTTTATTTCAAACGTGTTATAAATTATAATACAAATGCAATAATGAAATAATAATATTTGATAAAACGTTAAACAATCCTGGACGTTGAATTATCCTACATAAGTAAGACAATAAGTAATCGACATCGCCACTGGAACGGATCGTGCTGATTTAAAATACAACAATTTATACCTATTGGTCTATAAATACATATGTATAAATATTTATATCTGTACATATGTAAATAGACGAAAGTTGAAAAACGAAAATATAATAGAGAGAAATTGAGTGCGCGCGTTTGTTAATTTATATATTTATAATTAGTCGCTCTCGCGTGCGAGGGAATGTC